GGAGTATTCCAAGGAATGACTGAGTTTTCTAAATGTCCTAACTTAAATTGTGCCTCAACTAATTTGTGTAATTTGATTAGTTTCTCCTTAGTAAGTGGCCACTGATAACACCCAAACAAGCTCTTTGGTTTTCCACTGTAAAGGCAGAGCTGTTTTGGAGGGAGAAGTATCAACAGCCCTTGTTAAAAAACCTGTTGATATCTGATACCATGCCCATCATTCTTAGGTGTAGTTTGTATAGGTTCTTTGATTCCTTGTAAGTTCTCTCTTAGGCCTTTGTCTTCTTCATATCCCATGTTTGTTAATCATCACTGGTCTAATTTTACGATTTGAATCTATTTGTTTAATTTTAGCATTGGAATTTGTTTAATTTTAAAATCAGTATCAGAATTACTAGTCAATATTAATTTTCACTTTTATAACAAATCTCTTCCCCACAACCTGACCAGAATAGGTGCCACATATGGTAGAAAGAAACCCTTTTGTTGGTCTGGTCCCTCATAAGGGGAGGCACTTTGTGGTACATGCTGAGGGGACCCCAGTCCTATTAAGGAGGTAGGGGCCTTTTGTGTTGGCCACATGGCAGGCCATTGTTCTAATATAAGTATATACACACATTTGCCCCAGTAACAATTTGGCCTTCAGAACATTTTTCATTATCTTTATAAAACACATAGGCCTATTTTTACTTATTTCTTGTGTAAAATAAATTTTTTTGTAGTCTTCTTCTGAGGATCTTGTTCTCTCATGAGCTGTCTATATTTAACAAAGGAAGGTTTAGCTATAGGTAACAAAGTCAACTGTGCTACATATTCTCCTTCTTCAAAGACCCAGAGATCCATGGCACATGCAAAAACTTGTATCTCATCTCGACAATCACCATCAACCACACTAGGCACAATAGTTATTCCTTTTAAATTTAGATCAGCCTTTCTCAGTACAAGATCAACTGTTCCCTCAAGGAGGTGGACCCCACACTCCTGTGGGAATTGGGGTGAGTTTTTCACTCCCGATAAGAGTAACTCTGCAAGCTGCAGGAACATCTTATCCTGCACTTTGTAATTCAAAAGGCATATAAACAAAAAACTCATTATTAGCATTTCAGTGAGTTCCAGCTGGGAAGCAAGCAGGGGTGTTAGTTATTTTCTCTTTTGTGACTGCTTGTCCCTTTCAAATCTGTAAGTTTCTATAGAGCCACATAGGATGTTCTTTTGAAAAGCTCCTGCTCCTGCTGAGGTTGGTCCCCCTTTGGCTGCAGAAGCCTCTGTTGGGAGCTCTTTTGTTTCTTTGGCATCATCCATTTCAGAGACCATTGGCTGCTTGCTCTCTAACGGATTTAAACTGAATGAATGCGGTTCCAAGATGAGACTGTCTCAAGGGAATTGACTTTTTCTAAGAAAACCTTGGAGCAGCTGTACATATCCTTGCTCCTTGACTGATAATTTGGCCCATTTTTACTCCTAGATAAAACGGCTTTGCACAGCAGGAAGACTCACCCCTATTCCTATGGAATACTTTTCTTCCCTCTCTTCCCAGGCATCCCCAGCAGAGTATTTGTCCTGCAAAGGCCTTCTCCATCTCCCACACTTTCCTCTTTAGGTAGACTTACTCACAGGGATAAAAAAAAAAAAAAATTCGCAATCCAGAGGATTAAAACTCCTTGATAGGGTCATGGGTTCCAGCTCTAAGTTAAGGGTGTGAAATATAGACTATTGGGTTAAATAACCCTTAGTTATTGCAGGCTGATCAGGCCCACAATCTCCCAAAGGAATGGACGGCGAATGCTTAAATAAATGACACAATGGAAATGATTTCAGGGCTCCAGGAGGGACTCTTTTACAGCTTTGATATTCTCTGAGTTTAGCCCAAGACTTCTCTGGGCAGCCCATATTTATTTGGTTTACAAACAAAGGAGGACGATACTCAAGGAAACATGGCAATCTGGACAGAACTTTTCCAAGTAACACATTATGTTAATTGAGGAGAACTACGTTATCTCCAAGAAGGCCTTCAGGGCAGGAGTGAAATGCCTACAGCTACAATCTCCTTTAAGATAACTGGGGAGCCAGACATCCTCAGCTGCGGCCTTCAGATAACTCACAAATAAACATGAAAAACCAATTGGTTAATATTAAATCCTGCTCAGAGCCTTTTTGTAGTGGTCTCCAACAATGGTCCTACTAAATTAGAAGCTTAAGAGTTTCCTGTGGCCATTTCTGCCTGTTTATGCCACTGTTGAACAGAGAAGTAGAGAAGAGAAGCACTCTAAAAAACAGTAATTAGGCTGGGAAGAAATTTGATTGGTTCTACAAAATGGGACTGAGGAGAACTATGTTACTAGTGGAAAATTATGGCAACCCAACAACAATAACAAAAAACTTCCAATGATTCATATGCCATAGGAATGAAAGATCAACAAATATTTTCATCAAGCTAAGTCTCCTAGGGCAGGTAAAAGGATTGATCATAGGGAAGGAGGCAATGAAAGAAGCCATTATGATTTTTCATTATCAGAGACAGAAGTGGGGACTATGCCAGCAATAGTTTGTAATGTTTCTTTCTTCTCCTTTTAGGTTCAAGTGTCTTATATGAAGAACCCTGTTGGTAGAGTTAACCTGCACTCTTCAGTTAGAAACATGACTAAATTAATATGAAGTAGTTAAAGGGTAGTATATTAGGGCTGATCATGTTTCACCTGAGCAAAGAATAAGGTCAAACTGAATGGACTGTTCTGAATATTTTCCATTCATCTCTATAGATTCACTCCCTGCCCTTCCCCATCCTGCTCTGCCCCATGCAACAGAGTTTTATGGATTACATATATAGGCACATTTGTGCTTTAGGCAGGCTTAATAGGAAGCTCCTAGGAGGTCAGAAGATGAGTGAGGTCATTTCACAGTTCCCTGTAAAAAGGCTGTGACCCTCAACAAGATCAGGTTAAGAGATCAGGCAGGTCTCACCACACAGCTACCTGATTTATCAGCTTTGATTCTATAATATGATCTCAACTTTATTATTCTCCAAAATTATCATGGCTTTGTAAGACTATAAAAACAAATTATTTGTAAAAGCCTCACTCATTTACTGTGTCTCCTCCAATGATTTAATCCTAAAGTTTGTCTCAGCTGCTCATTCCTAAATTCACACTCTAGGCTTGGGCAACAGACCTTTTAACAGTAACCATAACTCTTCCCTCTTATCAATCATTGCATGTCACATCCTCCTCACTTGTTTTTTTAAGATCTCCTCCTAAGACTTCACTTTCTACAATCTACAAAACCACCAATACATGCAACTCAAATTACTAAAACATTTCCACCATTCCTAACTTCCTTACAGAGGTACAATACTATCAGAACAAGTATTATCTACCTAGCCAAATTACCAATTGAATGTGGTAGCAAAATGAAAGTATTTTCACTAATAAGGTAACTAAGTGGTACTCAGTTATACCCACTACTAAAAATAAAAATAAACTCTACAGCTATTCCAAAAAAAAGAGTGAATAATTCCTAGAAAAGGACGATGAGGTTTTCACTTTCTGGGCTAGTTGATTCTGACTGTGAGGTAAAAGAAGATCCTAAAATATCTAAATATCTAAAATATCTTTCTTGGATCATCAATGCTTTATTGACATAAGAAGTATTTATTTGCTTATTCTATGTCTGATCTTATGCATATACTTGTAACACAATAACAAAATAGAATAAATTACACACAAATTTTATGGCTCTTGCATAGAAGTAGAATACATAGACAATACTCAACATACACAGACATGTCTTAAGACAACAAGAAGCATACGGGGATTAGTGTGTGAGCCATTACTGTGGCTCAGTGGTGGGGTGCTTTGCCACCATAGTGAGGCTCTGGGTTCCATCATCAGCACCAAAAAAAGACATTTTAATTGAAGAATTAAAAATATAAAAATCTGGTAAATAGAGAGACTAGGCTAAATGTATCAGAAATAATATTACCAATATTGCCTGGCCTTCAAAAATTCAAATAGGGCAAGATAACAGCAGGTATATTTTTAAAGAAATTTTAAAAAGAGCTTAACAGAAGTTCTTAAACGGAACAATTCCGAAGATATAAAGGAGAGAGCTTTATCATTTATTCCTTTGTACACCTGTATTTTAAAATGATACCATGTTCAAACTTTAATTCAAAATTTAAGTACTAGTAATGAAAATTTTTATGGCAAGTTTCCATTTTTAGAAAAAGCAAGAGAACTACAGACAAGCAGAGATAAACACAAGGTAGAAAATAAAAGCATTTAAAATGTCAATGGCAGTGACAGAATGCCTGAGTGACAAAATGCTACATAATATAAATTCTCTTACGTGTTTTTACATGTACTTAACAAATTTGACATGATTAACATGAATTGCTGTTTAATTTTTTAAAAGAAAATACACTGTGCATAACTTGTTTTTTCCAAGTATAAATAGGACAAAGTTTCCCAGTGACATGACCTTCAACAATGAATTTAACATTACCAGAGAATTTATAAAACATGTATAAATACTGTGCATATTTAAAATATACCTAAAAGTTTCTTTTGAATACTATAGTGTCTTTTTGAGAACTTCAAAACACCTAAATGGATTTTTATTTCAGTTTTTTTCACTTCTTTCTATTTTGAATGTATTATCTATAACAAAATTTCTGTAATTTTACATCTACAAACAAAAATCTATTTGGTTTATAGAAATTTCTTTATAGATACTTTTTCAGTATGCACTGTTCTATATATTGAGGAATGGATGTGTATTTATGGTATTTCTGCTCTTGTTTTAACTTCCAAATACTACACCTCACTGAAACATGACACTTTTTCTACAAAAAATTCCTTCTCTCACATACTTCAAAATGTAAATGATAAGGGAAAAACAAATACCATTTCTAAAGGTAAACAATATAAAATATATGCTAACAACTTGGGCAATTCTTAAATGTTTATTTTTTTTAAAAAAAAAAAAGGTTAAATAATTACATACCACTGCAATTCCTGCAGAATAAGGAGTGACACACATCTTCCCAGGAAATGTTGCTCCCATGAAGTCTGGATAATCCCTATAACTAAATAAATGAATACATACACATCTAGAATTCATTTTAAAGAACAACTTCAAAGTGAGAATTATATAATTGTCTGGCTGATTCAAGTTTGTAGTTCATAAAATGTCATTTTCTATCCAACTGAGGCACAACCTTTTAATGTCTTAATTGTAAATTTGGAAGATATTCTTCACTAGATTGGATTAGGTACTGTTAAAACATATCCAACAGAGCTAATATTTTTCTTTTCTGTTCTCATTACATTTGGTGAAAGTCACCAAAGCCTTTGTTCAAACATTGTGAACAAGAACATTTTCTTGTCTAACAAGGACATAAAGTTTTAAAGTACAGATAAAAATGTGTCATATGTACAAAATATCCAGTTTCTCATAGGAATGGTTTTATTATTTCATAACTAAACATTACTTTTCAGCTTTGAGAGAAAGTGCCAATATAAATGGTCATTTAATAATAGCACTATTCTCAGAGATTCACATGAATTACCTTACTTGACCTTCAAAACAAACCACTAAGATAAATGTTTTTATACAAGTTAAGTAAATTAAATATCAGATGGGAGGTAGAAGTAACTCTCCAAAGGTGGCATGATTATTAAGTGCAACTGAAGTATCTAAACTAATCAGTGTGAATCCAGAATCACGCTTTCAACCACTAAGGGGCAGCTGCCACATTTTGACGTGCCCACTCACTTCAAATCAGGTGTTATTCACTGTTTCCTGTTCCCCTCCTCCTTGAAAGGTTCAACTTCATTTCTAACTGCAAATGAGATTCTGAAAAGAGCTAGCAAATTTTTTTGGTAACAAAAAGCACATTATTTCCATAACCTGAAATGATTTTCCAATAATGATATTATATAAGTTCAAAGACAGTGACTGTACCATCATTTTCTATATTTCTTATGGGGCAAATTCTTTTTCATCAATCTCACAAAAGTTACTGCATGTAGTAATTAAAGCAAGACAACTGTCTACAGAAGCCTGATAATTTTCACTGGACAGAATGGGAACAACTAAAGAAAAACAACAGGTATTCCACTAGAATGTTTGAGGCACAGCAATTCAGTTTTTTCTTTTACCTTTAACTCATTGTATAAACACCCTCTCACTTCTCTAGAAGCTTCTTTGTACCACTTCACCTCCTTCTCATATCATAGTGTTAAAGTTTCAACATTTTCCTCTTGCATCCCTGCATTCCCAAACCCTATATGTTCACTAGTATAACCATAAAGCTTTCTTAATCTTTTGACAGTTAACTCTGTAAACTTACTGCTGAATTCTTTTCACCATTAGCAGAGATACAGCTGTTGCAGTTATTACATATTAGCTGTAAGTTCTTCCTGGGTTATATTTATATTTATATCATATTGCAGATTTATTCTCTAGGATTAAAGGGGCACATAACTGGTACTGATAGTATGTTAATATTCAATTTGTCTTGGAATATACTACTCTAGCTGATTTCCTAGATATTAACAGGGTGACATAATTGTCACTGTTTTTCTGTAAGCCAACAGTCAGACTATTTGTGATATTAACAATACTAGAAAACATTCCCTGAGAATGTGGTTGTTGGGCTAATTACACTACATCCTCCCCACCCTAATTAACCAAAGTGGTCAGATCTTTGGGTTGTAACAATGTTTATAGTTAGCCACAATCAAAGTACATCACTGAAAAGGAACTAAATAGACCTCTGCATCAGTAGGAAAGTCTTCAGACCATTAGCATCTGCAAACTTCAGCACAAAACAAAACAAACAAAGCAAGAGAAACATGAGAAGACTAGTCAACAGAATGCCTCTGAAAATTCCAGTTCCCATGAAGCAAATACAGGGGTGCAGAAATAGGTAGGGCAACATAAACCACATACCCAAATTACCTGAAAGGATAAAGAGGAAATTAGAAAACAGATCAAAGATGTACTCATTGGGATCCAAGAAGATATAACTAAACAGTTTATGGAAGTACAGACATTCCTCATTTAACAACTGAGTTCAATTCCTATGACTAGGTCATTAAATGAGTTGGTCACTAACTGAAGAATATAAAGAAGAATACAGTATGTATCTTACAGTATTCAGAACAAAGAAATGCCAACTTGATGAATTTGCTTTTATTTGCATAATTTTACATGCAGTACTGTAATGTATAACAATATAAACCCACAGTACTGTACAATCAGCAAAAAGTACAGTACTGTGTGAACTAGATGTGCTATACAAAAAATACATTGAGACTCTATAACAAAATGTACAAAACTATATCCAAAAAAGGATGGGTCATAAGTCTGAAGAGCATGTGAAGTCTGAACAGTAGTTAAATAGGTCATTAAACAAAGAATTTCTGTGTTTTAGTTACTTTTCTCTCATTGCTGAGACAAAATATCCAACACCCACAAGTTAATGGAGGAAAGATTTATTTAGCTCACAGTTTGTTGAGGTTTCAGTCCATAATGAGCTGGCTCCAAGGCAGGGTGGCATCAGAGGGTAGCAAAGCAACAAGATACCTTAACAGCATCTTTCTGCCTCTTTTATCTAGACTACTTAGGGCAGGTAGCATTCACATCCCTAATTCTAAAGAGCCTAGCCCTGCATCATGAATCAATTCTAGCATCACACACTCTAGATCTAGCCACCTCTGAAAAAGCCCCACCTATGACCACATGAGGCTTTGGAGGAACATCTAAACACAAGCCATAGCAATCTCTAATAACCAAAAAAGTGCAAGAGCTTTCATAAGACATTAATGAAAAGCTAGATGAGCTAAATAAAATAACACAAAAATAAACAAATAAAACAATAGAAGCATGAAGAGACTAGTCAACAAATTGCCTCTAAAAAATCCCAACTCCCCTGAAGCCAATCCAGGGGACAAGAAGAGGTAAGACAACATAAGCCACACACTCAAATTATAGGAATGACCAATTTACCAAAGAATCAGAGTCCATGGAATGGGTTCAACTGAAATCCAAAAGATGAAAAGTTACATTCAAAGTGTGGACAATACAATGGACCAAGTAAGAGGACAGAATTTCAGAACTAGAAGACAGCAATGGCTTCAAAGGCCAACTACTAAAAAACACATAAAAACAATAAGAGAACATGAAAAATGGATCCAGCAGAGAATAGATTATGCAAAAAAAACTAGTCTAAGAATAACCAGAATAAGTAAAAAATCGGAAGACAATACAAATGGCATAAAAAGCCTGTTAACAAAATTAATGGCAGAAAACTTTCTAAATATAGGGACAGAAATAAACATATAGATAAGTGAGGCATATAGAACCCAGAACAGGGGCTGGGGATTTAGCTCAGTGGCAAAAGCGCCTTCCTGGCAAGCGCAAGGTCGTGAGTTCGGTTCCTGGTACTGGAGAAAAAAACCAAAAAAAAAAAAAAGAACCCAGAACAGCTGTGCCCAAAAGAGAACCTCTCTACATCACATTCTATCCAAAGCAGTAGAAGTCCATCTCTGGAACAAAAATCTAAAAACTGTTAGAGAAAAGCAACATATCACATATAAAATTAAACCTATTACAATTACAGCAGACTTCTCCACACAAACTTAAAAGACTAGAAGAGCTTGTAGTGAAGTGTTTCAACCCTTAAAAGATAACAACCAACATCCAATCCTGATTTATTTATACTTTAAAACTTTCTTTCAAAATTTATAAAGAAATGTTATTTCCATGACAGGGAGAACCTCAAGAAATTCAAGACCACCAAAACAGCATTGTAAAAAAGTTCTCAAGGATATCCCAAAAAGAGAAAATGAAGTAAAAAATGCCAACAAGTCAAAAAAATGAATGCACCTGGTGGGATAGGCACTAAGCAAAAGGAAAAAACATAAGGAAATCAGCAACAGGAAACAGGAAACAAATACACTGACAGGAATAAATCAATATTTCTCAGTAATAATTCTCAAAATGTATGGTCTCAATTCCCCAATCAAAAGACAGAGACAGGCAGAGAATGGAAGAAGAAATAAAACCCCACAATATGCTGTGTGTAAGAAAAACATTTAATTCACAAAAACATCACAAAATAAAAATCAAAGGATGGAGAACAGTATTACATGCAACAGAAACTCAGGAGAAAGCCAGAGTCCTACTTTTACACAAAGTGGGTTTCAAGCCAAGCCTGATCAGAAGAGATAAAGGGGGCTGGGGATTTAGCTCAGCGGCAAAGCGCCTGCCTGGCAAGTGGAAGGTCGTGAGTTCGGTTCCCGGTACTGGAGAAAAACCAAAAAAAAAAAAAAAAAAAATGAAGAGATAAAGAAGGTCACTATATAGTAGTTAGCAGCAATTCATTAGGAAAAGTTAACACTGTAAATATAAACACACACCTAATATTAGTGTACCCAACCTCATAAAATAAATACTAATGGACATGAAAGATCAGATAACAGCAATAAAATTTTAATGGGGGACCTAAATACCCCACTGTCACAAATGGACAGATTAGACAAAAAAAAAAAAAACAACAAAGAAATATTATAGTTGATATAAACCTTGAATGGAGTCAACAGGTATCTGTAAATTATTTCATCCAACAACAACATAATACACCTTCTCAGCAGCACATGGGACTTTATCCAAATAGATCACATACTAGCCAAAGACCTGAAATTATCACATGCATATTATCAGGTCACAGTGCAATACAATTAGAAATCAATGATGAAAGACACCAAAGAAACTATGCAAATACATGGAAATTAAATAATATATTCTTGACTAATAAATGGGTCACAGATGAAATTAAAGAAGCAATTTTACAGTTCCTACAATCAAACAATAACGCCAGTATGACATACTGGAACTTATGGGGCACAATGAAAGTGGTCCTAAGAGGGAAGTTCACAGTGGTGAACTCCTACATCTGTAAAACAGAGCCAGTTTAGGTAACCTGATAATGCACCTTAAGGTCCTAGAAAAACAAGAACAATCCAAACTCAAAGCTAATACAAGGAAGGAAGTTATAAAATCAGAGCAGAAATTAATGCAACTGAAGCCAAGGAAGAATCAATGAATCGAAGAGTTGGTTCCCTGATAGATTAAACAAGATACACAAACACTTAGCCATTCTTACCAAAATAAGGAAAGCCCAAAATCCATGCATTTAGAAATGAAAAAGGCAAAATCATGGTAGATTCTGTAGAAACCCGCAAGGTCAGGTACTTTGAGCACCTGTACAATAGTAAAATAGAAAATTCAAAAGACATGGGTGAATTCTTACATACATATGAACTACCAAAGCTGCACCAAGAACACAGAAATTCCTGAATACTTCACTAGCAGTCGATAAAATTTAAGACGTAACAATAAAAAAAAACTACCAAGAAAAGACCAGGTCTCAATGGGTTCACTGCAAAATTCTACACAAAATTTTAGAGATGATTTCACACCAATTAAAAAATGGGGATCTGAAATGCTTAGACACTCCTCAGATGAAGAAGTACAATCAGCCAAAGAATACATGAAAAACTGTTCAAAATCCACAGCCATTTGAGAAATGCAAACTAAGAAACACCAAGACTGTATCTCATTCCAGAAAAAAATGGCTATCTTCAAGAAATTAACCAATAACAAATGCTAGAGAGGCTGGGGAGGAAAGCCAATGCTCTTCCATTGTTGGCGGGAATGTAAAGTAGCATAATTATTATGGAAATCTATGTGGAGATTCCACAAAACACTAAACATAGAAATTCCACTTAATGCAGCACTTCTTCTAGGTATCTAGAAGATAGGATACCTCTTCTAGGTATCTTCCTAAAAGGGTTAAAGATATCATCACAGTGATGTATGCATACCCATGTTTGTACCCCACAATTTATAATAGCTAAATCTTGTAAACAGCCATCAGCAGATGAAAGGATAAAGAGAATGTGGTATTTATACACAATGTAGTACTATTCTAACATAAAGAAGGATAGACTTCAGTTATTTGCAGGAAACTGGATGCACTCTGAGGCCATAATGTTAAGTGAAGTAAGTCAGATACACAAGTATAAATATCACATGGTTTCTCTTTTATGAAAAACTCAATATATAAATAAAATGTAGAATAAAAGGCAAACAATAGGGAAAAAAGGAAAAGAAAAAGTATTGTAGTCCAGCATGGGAAATGTATCTGAAAGTGTACCCTAATATAATTGTCTTATGAGTTTTGTACGTTTTTTGCCCTGTTATTCTGGCTGTTAATCTGTATTTATGATAATTAACTTTATAAGGACTTGTAAGATAAAACAATGACCCTGATTCTAGCAAAAAAGTTATGAAAAAGGGGGTGGTAGAAGGAAAAAAGAAGAATTGAGATGTGTTATATATATGTACCAGTGCCCTACAATGAATATAATCATTATGTAATGTAAACCTGTACTAATGAAAAACACACACACACACAAAAAAAAAAGCTTTAAAAATGAAAAATGTAACAGGTATTTCTGACTGATATATGAAGTATATATTAATCTTTTACATGCAAAGAGAAATACTGACATGCCAACTATAAAATACAAAGTTATATATAGAGATATATAAGTACATATAAAAAGAAAGATCTTTGCTTATTATTGTTAACATTATAATATAAATACAAATATAAATATGGCTATTGTTTCTCATTATAAAGCTACCACTGAAAATAAAATAAAATTTATTAAGATAAAATACTTCTAACTGAGCTTACAAAACCTTAGATCAAGTTTACAGTCAAAATAAACTTCACAAGATAAATTCCAACTCTGTAAGAAGTGGGTGAGAGCTTGGGCTTTGGAGTTAGAAACTGATTTCTAACCCTGGATACATCATTACATGGGAAAGTCCTGAGATGGCTTACCTTCCTGAAATCTAAATTTCTTCATTTTTAATAGTTTGATACACTTACTAATAAATTTTAATAATCTTGTTTTATTGCATGAAAACCAGAAAGAAGGCAGAGACTTCAATAAAACACCTAACAAATAATTGTAATATGAATTCCCCCAAGTAAATAGCACTTCCCTAAACTAAGCTACATTATTATCACAGAACTTGGTTTTCTTTTCAGGAATACTGAAACATTATTCTTACATAAATAGATATGCAACATCATGAGGCCTTAGGGTAAGATGAGACTGTTTCCATTCTGAAAACCTGTGGAGTACTTCATCTGCCTTGCCGACTGTAGATATCTTATTTGTATCTGACCACAACTCCAATGAAGACAACACAATCACCACTTTAAATTGGGAAAACATCTAAGAAATAAATAGATTAAAATCATTTTGTTTTATTTTATAATAACCTAGAAATTATTTTAGTATCATCACAAATCTATACTCAATTTATATGAAGTAATTACTCAGAAACAGTACTTCAAGTTACTGAAAATACCATTACAAAACAAATAATCTAGTATGAAAAGGATAATACTTACTGAATTTACAAGGTTGGTCATTTCCATGATGTTGTTTGTTACGGTCGTGCTATCAGAGCCAAAGTAATCATACTGAAAGACGGAATTAATTTTACATTTAAATTCAATTTCTTATATTATATTTTGAGATTTGCTCATTATCTATTGGCTGACTTGATTGAACAGTTCAAAATAAGACATTAATAAAGACAAACTGAATATAAACAGAACCTCTTGCTTTGTGAATGGTGATGTAAAATTGTACGGCCACTCTGGAAAAGTTAGGCTACTTCTTATAAAATAAAAATGGACTTAGTACATGACCTATCAATTACACTCCTGGACATTTATCCTGAAGAAATGAAAACTGATGCTCACACAAAAACCTGTATATGAACATCCCTAATGCTGTTGTCCCTGATGACCAAAAAATGAACATTCTCTAAGGGATTAAATGTTTTAAAATGCAGTACTTCCATTCCATAGACTATTACTCTGAAATAAAAAGAAAATGAAATACTTGTATATGGAACCCCTTGGACAAACCTTAAGAAAATTATGCTGGGTTTAAAAAATCTCCAGAGGGGCTGGGAATTTAGCTCAGCAGCACAGCACCTGCCTGGCAAGCGCAAGGTCGTGAGTTCAATTCCCGGTACCAGAAAAAAAATAAAAATAAAAAAATAAAAAATAAAAAATAAATAAAAATAAAAATAAAAAATCTCCAGAGAAGACACTGAAGGATAACTTTATCTAGTAACTGTGAAGTTATAAAAAAGGAGAACGGTTTAGTGTCAGTTCAAGGTGAAGGAGGAGGAAGATCTGGGTGAGGCTGTGAAGAGGCAATGTGTGGGAGTCTCACTGTGATAGTGTTACTGCATATCTTGACTGTGCTGGGAGTTGCACAAGACTACCAAAATGTCACTGTCACATAAGACCACACATACATGCATACACAAATTAGTCTACATAGAGTGTTAAAATCTGAAGGACCTCTGGATTGCAACAATATTAAACTCCATATGTCTACACATCAGCTTTCTACACCACACCACATGCAGTGGATTTCTGCAGGAACTTCAAATTTTCAAAACTAAACTGATTTCAGAAGCTAAATTTTCCTTCTTCCCTCAAAAATGTGTTTTTACTTACATTTTCAACAATATTATCTAATAGTATTGTCAATTATCATATTCCACATTTATTACATGACATACTTCATCCAAACAAAAGCTTTTGTTCACTGCTATATCCTTAATAACTAGAAATGAAGCTCATATGTAAATAACACTCAGCAGATTTAAGCAAATGAATAAATCAGCAATTTCCAAGTTCTTCCAATTCTCCCTCACCAGCACTTTTAAAGTTTTATCATTAGTTCTATTCCTACTGAAATTCCTACTCTCATGTTGATGATTGAACAATCTCTTAAATACTGACTTCTCCAATTTTCCCATCAGCAACCACCTACACAATTACCAAAACAAAAATTCTAAGATGAAACCATGAGTATGTAACTTCCTTGCTTAAAATTTTTCAATGACTCTCCATTGCCTTAAGCTAAAATCCAAATATCCTATGAATTATTTTAATCATCTATTTCCACCTTCTTTTAACCATGTGTACTAGTCATAAATTCTCTCGTACAGTGGCTGGGGGATATCAGTACAAAGCCTTCCCTGGGCCAATTCTCCTCCAGTTGCTCATTTCTTGTATTCATTATGTGTCTCACTGTGTTAATATGACCTTTCATATTTGGGTATAGCTTATGCTTTGATGTCTTGGGCCTGGGTAGATCCTGAAAATATTATAATTCTCAGAGTTAAACAATTCTTGGGATAGTAAAAGACTGCCTTAAAATGTACCTTTATATATAAGACGACCCAGTGAGGACCTGCACCCTAGTCACCTCCTGCAGCAAGCTGTCACCCCAGGGCTATTATTCCTCTGCCCAGCTCAACCCAGGGCCATGTAGACAACTATGCACAGCTGCTACACCCTAATCAGTATACACTGAACATATGCTAATTAGGCAATCTTAACCTGCTTATGTTGCCTTACGTGCTCTCATAGAAATGATAATAAAGATCACATGGCCACTCCTCCTTCTGTGTCAGGATGGTCCTGGTGCCTACCCCCGTGACCTCAGTAGTATGCAGTTTGGCCCCTGCTCTAGACAGCAATGCATTATCAACCGTAATCATTTCCTCATATGTTGGCCTCAGCAGAGCTGCAGGACATTAAAATCTATACTTTGTTTGTTTTGTTTTTCTTTTTCTTCTGGTGCCAGGAATTGAACTCACGACCTTGTGCTTGCCAGGCAGGCGCTTTTGCCACTGAGCTAAATCCTCAACCCCTAAAATCTATACTGTAAAACTTTCAACTGCACATTGTCATAGCATCGGAATGTGATAGTTGTGTATTTTCATAGCTGTCTCCATGAAAACATGGCTGTATTTCTACAGTACCATGTACTTCCTCAATTATGTTGCCGAATTCAGTAAGCTAAAATTATATATCTACATTTTGTGAACTCACTGAAGAAAATGTTAGTAATTTTCTTCTTTATGTATGCATCTATATATGGCAACACAGGTTTTATAGCTGGTTCAATGTTTTATTTGGAATACATAAATAAGGGAATTTGTAAATATACACAGAAATATAGAAAAATAATGTTTAGTCGGCATCTTATGGCTTACAAAACCTACAACTGGGGCAAGAAGCTTTTAAAACAACTCTCAAAACTTTGTAATGTAAGCCTGAAACAAATGAAGTTTTATAATCCCAAGTATTCCCCAGAATTTTGGTTACATATACTAGAAATATCTATTTTCTCTTAAGTATCTCAATACCTCAATCATAAATATTTCCTTTGTCTTTTTTCCCCAAGTACTGTCATGCTTCTCCAAGTCTTTCCTGTGTCTGACCTCAAATCTGGCTTATTGTCAAGCTTTACAAACTAAAGCACCTCTGAAGTTCTCTGTGAGGTTCCTTACATGTGGGAGTCAAATGCTTACCATTGGAATAAAACCTGCAAAATGCAGGTTTATCTCTATTTTCTGAAATCTTTAATGATTAGAAGAAATAAAGCCATTCTGTGGTTGATTATATACTAAGGAATCACCCCAAGAGCCTAAATTTTAAGAGGCCCTCAAGTTGTTTACAGAAATCAAGAATCTAGATGGGCCTTCACAACAGGCAGACAATGTACTGGACCAGAAGCACCTGATGCTTAAAAAATTCCCATATACAGTGTTCATAGAACCACTTTTCATACGCAGTTATACTATCAGCATTTCTGGCTCAGTTCATATTTCATAGAGTGATTACACAGTACACTTTAAGACTTTCCTAAGAGCACTTAGGACACTTAAACAAGGTCATCTTCACCAAAAGTTCATTAAAAAATGAGTGTGGTATAAGAGTCCCTAAAAACATAAAGAGCCAACAAAAGAAAAAAACCATTTTGTTTTTTAAGACTGTTCTGTAATATTTCAAATAAAATATTTCTGATAAAATTAGAATAGTTTTTGATCTCTTTTTTTTTTGTCTGTATATTTTATACTGTGCTATGATGAATGGCAAGTAAGATGACTAGGGTCTCTTAATTGCCTTGTAGCTAAGGATAACCATCTATTTATATCAATATTTAAAACTATAGAAAAAGTGAAAACACATACCAAAGCTTTGTCCACCACAATATACATTTCTAAATAAAGAGGAGATAAGTCTGGAGGTGTTTGCGGCTAGAGAAAGGAAAAACAGAAAATAAAATTTGAAATGTTTTATAATTTATTTATTTTGAACTCTTTATACATGCTATTACCATGGCATTCATAAGACTTAATAGGAAGTTTTCTTGTTACACGTGCCAAACATTAATGTATAGAGCTATAAGTTTTATAATGGACTCTAGTACTCAAATCATTGGCAATGAAACCATTCTATATCATTCAATAGGTCTACAGTATGCAATTTATAGACAAAACACCCAGCATTTTGAAGCATATATTTCATTTGAATACTATTAAAAGTTTTGCTTTATAGACCATGGAGATGCTGGAGATTGAAAAATTAGTCACACTTTTCTCAGTCCTTCCTGTATCCAAATCCTTTGCAGAGCCTCTCATCAAGAGGTGACTGTTTTTCCACTGTTTTTATCTAGGATGGGACCTCTTAACTTCATTAAGTCAATAAATGCAATGCCAATCTCCTGTGCCAATCTTCATGCTGAGTCATCCCTTATACTGCTACTCCTTATCCTCCAAATCTGCCCAGCCTACCAGAGGATAAAAAACACCAGGCGGGTGGGGTGGGGGGCCAAGTCATTATTTTAGGAAAAAAGGAAGCTGCTTACTTTCTTTTTATATATATATTCATGTATCTCATGATTACACTCATCTTGAGGAGGTGAATTGCTCTAAAAGAGTGTTGTGGTGCTTGGATCTTGCCACCCACCAACACACTCCACACACCCACACACACTTATAAAAGCAGTCATGGAGCAACACATGAAGATGATGCTCATATTCCTGGTGTGGCTGGCTGGTGCCAGAGATAGAGACTCCAAACTTGTTCCAAAATATCTATGGCTGGATGATTCCAGCTGTCCGGTGGCTCCCTGAAGGATCTGCTCACAGGGACAGAGTGGCCTCATAGGTGGTATTTGTTAAAAGCATTCAAAGGCAGGCAACCGACAGTTCCTTGGAGCACAAGGCACAAGCAGCAGGCATGCTGAAAAGCCTGAGAAGGAAAAGGCTGAGTGTGGAAATAAAGTCTTTGAAAATCTCACATATAGTGATAAATCGAGAAGAGACACATATCCAAGGCTAGACAAAAATGAAGAAGTGCCTTAGGAACATACTAATGAAGAAGTGGCTTAGGAACATACTCTCTTCCCCTGGCTCACCTTCAGGTGGTGAAAAAGGAAGACTGCAGGCCAAGGCAAGAGTTCCAACAGCTTGGGTGTTGCAGGTGCACCCAAGCCCTGAATCATCTTGGACACACCTGGCCAGGTACTTGTGGCAAGCAGATTCGAGTCACTTAACAAAATTTCTCTCAAATCACTAGGTAACCCTTAACAAACAATAGTCTTTATAAAAGTAGTTTAGCAAAGTCACTAAACGATTACAATCCACCACAAGCAGCAATAGCAACAAGAGACTGGGGAAGACAAAGCAACCTGATTTATAGCATTACCAAACTGAAATATTCAAAATTTCCTGTTTTTCAACAAAAAACATGTAAAGTCTGAAAAAAATGAGAGTATATGGCTAATTCTCAGGGAAAAAATAGAAATCTTCCCTAAAGAAGTTCAGATATTGAATTTAGCACACCATTATAAATTAAATGTCTGAAATGTGCTCAAAGAGGTAAGCGAAAATATATACAAAGAAAAATAAAATCAGAAGAATGATGCATCACCAAATAGGTATAAATAAAATATAAAAAAATTTTACATTTATTGAAAAATGTAACATTTTATAAAAGCAATCATGGAGCTGAAAAATATAACAAATTACTAGAGAGATTCAGCAGCAGATGTTAGCAGAGAGAAGAAATAATATGCAAATTTCAAAACAAATCTACAAAAACTTTTAAAATCAACACATCGTGATCATATATTTATGTGGTACATTGTCATGATTCAATAATGTATATACACACATAATAATCATATGATAATTAGCATATCTATCTTGTTAGACATTTATTCTTTCTTTGTGTTTGGAGATTTTAAACTCATAACTTCTGCTTCTTTATAAAATACATAAAAAATGGTTTAACTACTACATTAACTAGAATTTACTCCTTTTATCTAACTGGTTATTCAGTCTAAGGAATACAAGAAAAATCAATAAAGATAAATGAAAAGAATCAAAGAGATCCTTGGAATACCATCAACTATAATGGGAGTCCAATATAAAGAAAAATGAAAAGGGCAGAAGTAATATTTTAGAAAATAATAGGAGAAAATATCCCACATTTGATGAAAACTGAACTAAGGGGACTAGAGGCAGTATGATGACATGTAAGTCCTGAAAGATAAAAAGCTATCAATGAAAAATTCCATATCTAGCAAAACTTCCTTTCATAACTGAAGGTGAAGGAAAGACATTTCCAGACAAAAACTGAGGGAGCTGGTACAAGAAGAACTGCCTGCTACACACTGAATTATGTCCCACATGTTGAAGTCCAAAGTCCCAAAACTCCAGAAAGGGACTATAGTCGAAGAGGGGTTTTAAGGAGGTAATCAAGTTAAAACTAGATCTCGTGATACAACAGAATGGGTATCTTTATAAAAACAGGAAATTAAGACACAAACACACACAGAGATAAGATGCAGAGATAAAAATGCAGGTGGTGATGTAAAGCCAGAGAGATGCTTCTGAAGAAACAATCTCTAAGGACACCTGCATCTCAAGCATGTGAAAAATTAAATTCCTGTCATTGAAGCTATCCAGTCTATGATACAATGTTACAGCAGCCCTAGCAAAATATGCTAAAGGTTCTCCTTCATTCCAAAATGAAAGTACACTAGAAAGTAACTTCTAGAAACAATAGAAAAAATTAAGAACACAGTGAGTACATTGGTAAATGTATTGATAAACATAGAAGTCAATATTATTATGTTTTGGGTTTGTAATTCATCTTTTCCCCAATTAGTTTTTAAAACTTCATAAAAATAAAAGCACAAATATATGTTAATGGAAATATAATGCTTAAAGATCTAATTTTTGACACCAAAGAAAGAAGAGGGTTTGTGTGTGTGTATGAATGTGTGTGTGTATGACTGTGTGTGTACCTAATACAGAAGTTAAGTTGATATTAATTCATTAGGATTGTTTTAAACATAAGATTTTAATTATAAAATTTAGGTTAACTAAAATGTGTACAGAAAAATACATGAGACAGGAATCAAAACTCATATCAGAAACAGAAGAAAGTATATTTTCTAAATATTAGAATAGAGGTTTATGCATTAAAAAGGGAGGAAATTGCCAGTTTTATTCACAGTTTTGAGCTACTGAAGTGTATAAAACATATCAGGCACAATGTAACAATTTACAAAATAAAATTTTGTAATAACTTTTAAAGTGAAGAAATGAAACATTTTCATCCCTCCATCCAGAATCCACAAAGGCCTCCTTAACCTGATCACAACTCCTAGAGGTAAGCATAATCTTGACATTTATGACAATCAATTTCCTTCATAACTTTTTATTCTAAATCAGTATGCTTTTCTTTTACTGATGTTTTATCTTTCCATAAACGAATTATACTTTACATATGCTTTTATATCTGTCTTCTTTCACTCATTGTCATGATTTAAATACTCAGTGAAGTTTTTGGTGTATAGCTGTAACTCAGTTATTTTTCTTAATGGATGGTAGTTCATTGCATGAGTATATTACAATTCATTGAATAATTTTAGTTTTGGGGGCTGGGGATTTAGCTCAGTGGCACAGCACTTGCCTGGCAAGCGCAACGCCATGAGTTTGGTTCCCGGTACCGGAAAAAAAATCAAAAAAGAAAAAATAATAATAATAATTTTAGTTTTGTGTACTGGCTTTCTACCAGTTTTTGGTATTATAATGCTGTGAATAACCCCCTTACTGCCTTTGATACTCATTTAAATACTCTGGAATTTCTGGGCCAAAACTGTTTATTATCTTGTCTGTTATTAATGAATAATATGAAAGCTTTACAATCATTTTATCAAACCATAAGTGATAAATAATAATTTTTCCTGTTCCACTTCTTTGTGAAGACTTGGTATTACACAAGTTTTACTAGTCTTATGGTTGTGAGGATGGAAGGCACTCTTGGTTTATTTTGCCTATTTTTGATGATATGAAAGAAAATGAACATTTTTTCATTAGATTTAATGTCTTGATTTGCAATTAAGAGCCATATCGAATGCAGTTCTAAGAAGAAAGTTTATAGCAATAAAGTACCTCCTCAAAAAGAAGAGAAAGAAAGAAACTAGGAAAGACTGATTTCTAACAGTCTACCATTACATCTCAAGAAAAACAATGTAAAAACTAAGCACCAATGTTAGAAGAAAAGAAATAAAGACTATATAGAAATAAAGAAATAAAGATTATAGCCAAAAAAGTAAAATACAGATAGAAAAACACTAGAAAACATTGTCAAACCTAAGAGTTGAATTTTTGATCATCTAAACTTTAGTGAAGAGGATGGAGCTTCAACTTGCTTATCTTTCGAATTCGTCTGGGATTGCTGGAACAACTTTGAGGTATGTGCAGGTAGTCCATGCAGGCACGGTCTTGTCCCTCACTCCTTCCTCTCTGGTGCTGTTTCCTTGTCTTTCCCCATCACCCTTAACTAAGCAGCTTTACACCATCATGCCCTTCTGCCAGGATACCTCTGCCCTGCTGCTAGCAGACCGTGGACTGAAAGTAGGAGAAAATTAAACCTCTCCCCCTTTATTGTGGGTGTTGGATGATGTATCTGAGTGATGAGAAATTTGATTAACATATAAAACCGATAAACTATCAGCTAGATTAACGAAGTAAGCAGAGAAAATTGAACCTAATAGGATCAGAATTGACCTAGGAGACATTACTATTAAAAGTCAGAAAAAACAAACCTCATTAGAGACTACTATGAGCACATACAGCAACAACTTTGACAAAGAAAAAAATTGATAAATTCCTTAAAAATATATAAGCTACAATGATGGAATCACAAAGAAATCAGAAATCTTAGACCAATACTGACA